GGTGGTTGGGCGGCTGCGTCTGCCTTCGCCTCTGGGAGCGGGGGTACGTGCGCCGCCTGCCTGGCCAGAGCGCGTCTCTTGGTGGGGAAGCGGGGTTGCTTTTCCGTGACCAGCCGAATGAAAACGGTGATTGGGCGCAGGTGGGGCAGCTACCTGGGGGGGAGGGGGGAAAAAAAAAAAGTTAAATGTGCCTTTGCCACGGGTGTGTGGGCTGAGGGAGGCACAGCCTGCGGGCGGAGCGTGGCTTTTCACAGAAGCGTGCTTGGAAGTTCAGTGTCAAGAATTCAGGTGCGTTTGCCTGTATGAAGGCACTTTTGAACACAGAAACGATATTCTGTTCTGCGATTCTCGCCGGTAAACCAAGCTGTAGCGTGAATGAAGTGAAGCAGGTATCTAATTGCTTCTGGATGATTTTTATGCAAGCGTTGTCAGAAGACAGGCAGGAAGAACCTAAGTAAGGGGAACAAAAAAAGGCGATTTCTCTGTAAGTCCATAGGATAATGGGAAACGCACAAAGTAAGCACTTAAAAATAAGCACTTAGAAAGATAGGGGACCCACAAAGTCATCTCTCTGGACATACAACCCCCCCCCCCCCAAACTATCTCGTAGGGAAATTGCCAGTTAGTCAAAGCACTTAAATCCTGTTATTACAGGGACAGCAAGGAAGAAAACCCTGCAGCTAGTCGTGATTATCGCAGGGAGGAAACACTGCCACAGGTTAACAGGTAAGAGAGACGAAGTGAAACAGCAAGTAAATCTCAAGTGTTGGGATATTTAAATAGTATCACGAAGAGAAGAAGCCATAGTTTACTGGGATAATAGCTAGGTGGCCAGTAATGAGCCAACTGATACATCAACAGCCAAGGAAGCACTAAGTGAAAGGTGAATGCATATGTTAGGCACAGAAGAGCTGCAAATAAAATGCTTCCCTGAATTTTATTTTTCTGAAATGTCTGAAAAGAATACATGTCATTATGTACAACATACCTATTTTAGATGCCCATGTTAGCCTTGAAAGAATCTAATCAGAGCAGCCTTAAAATAAAATGACAAAAGTAAAGGTAAAATATTTTAAACACAGAATAAAAACTGTATGATCATTACACAGTGCAGTGGCCAACTGCTAAAAGAGTGACTTGATAATGAGATTGCTTATTTTGCTGTAGTAAAATGCTTCTCAAAAAAACTAAATCAGCAAAGAATTTTTGTTGGAACTAAATTTTGCACTAGGAAGTACCATTTGCTTCAAGGTTCATGCTGCTGAGATTAAAGCAAATAGTATGGTCTGGAAACCATGTGTTGAACTTCTGAAAGTGTCTAAATAATCTTGTCGTTATCCTAGAGAACTTTATAATGGGTCATGATCACTGATGATTGTGTTATGCATTAGTTTTCTGAAAAAAATGTTTTCTGATTGAGTGTGGTATACTTCAAATTCTATGTTATGAAAGCACTGTTAATCTTGAAACTGGATTGCTGTGAATATCAGCTATTTTCTTTTAAACCTTTAAGTGCTATCATGCTTTTCTTCCTCTGTCCCAAAATGGTATCAGGACTGTTGTTTTCCCACGTGGCTTTTCATCTGTTTTGTTTTCTCTGAGGGTTTTGGAGGGCTGCTCATTTTTTTGAAAAAAAGGGCTTGAAAGTGCTGTTGCATGAGGCCAGGCAAGTGTATTAGAGCTTATGATCATGATTTACACATTTATCCTTCAGCTGGTTTAAAACAGTTAAAATGGAAGAAAAAGAAAAAAACAAATGCCTCTGGAAGCAAAATTCAGCTAAGTATAGCTCTAGTAGATTCCTAAGAGTCTTCCGGAGCAATAATGAATTCATTTACCACAGATTCATTTCACTGTATTTCAGCTGGATGGTTTGAAGATCTGTTGTTGATACAACTGTCCTGATATGTTTGTCAACAGCAGACTTAAATTGCATCTTACGTATTTCTCTCAACATTCGTTTGGGAGGTAATGAGAGACAGGAGTGATCCCTGATACCTCTGTTGAAGTTCTAAGCTGCATTCGGTGAACCTGGCACGTGATATTTCACAGTGTTTTGCAACGCTTCTTTATTCCTGATTCTCTATTTCTCTATTGCAGTTTACAGTGGCTTGCATCTCGTGATGTGCTCCCCTACCCCCAAAAGCCCCTTTGCTTTGTGCAGTTCGCATTTCTCTGTCTCTTTAGAGGAATGCATTCCCCTTTTACAGTACTTGTCACTGTTTTGCTTTAAATTTCTCCTATATACGGAAATGTAATCTAATGATAAAAACTATGTGTGTTTAATACTGCTGAATTTCTTTTGTAATGCAAAGATCCTAACATTTCTCTTTGTTTTTTAGCAGGTATTATTTTTCAGTGGCCAATTCATTAGTTCTGAAAAGTGCAATCTTTTTAGTCCATGAAGTAGCATCTTTCTTTTTCTTACTCCTTGTGTTTCTTTTGTTAGAATGTTCTTCTTCACATTTTTTTTCTTTCTCGTGTCATCCAGATGTTCCTGTCCTTTCCCCCCCTCACCCCAATAATTCACTTGCATGAAGGTTTAGTTATTTGACAGTGTGTGTTTGTTGTTTTTCCTTCAAGTTCTCCCATTATCTCATCTTTGTTTCCCCATTACAAGTCCCAAGCTTCACAACACGTGACTTCATTTTCTTCACTTTGTTTAGGTCACTGTCACTCAGCTTTTCTGCCAGGTCAAGCCAATATCCCCTAATAGAGGCACTCCAGGAGCTTGCGCTCATCTGTCATGTAATTAGATCTGCAGCCATCACTTGACCATAGCCCGATGGCCCCATCAGAGCACTGTTGTATGATGGGGACCCATGTACATAAAGTCCTTTTGTCATGTTACTGAATGGGCATGCTCCGTGCAATGATTATGCCTATAGGATGTGTTTAGGGCATGTCCAGCTACATGACGAATGGCAGGCTATGGGGCTCTAAAGGAGAGCAGCAGGGAGACTGCTGTGGGTTAGTGAATGATTTGTGTGGCTGACAGCCTGCTTCCTGACCAGCTCTGAGGGACTCTCAGGAATGAAGATGACAAGCTGAGTTATATGTTTTGGCACATCATGAGTTGGCTATCCTTGCTTTAATTATCTCACGCTGAAATCTTAATTTTCATAAGGAATGTGAAGTCCCAGTTGTATTGAATTTAGTTCTCTTATGATTCTTCAGTCATTACTCTCCTTCTCAATTACAGCTTCATGTTCTGACAGATTTTTTTTGTTTTTAATTCATGTTGTGGAAGGAAACGTCCCCTGTTTAGCTTGGCTTTTTTGTAACACTTAACAATTGCTTTCCCGTGGCAATTGTCAATGAATCTGTTACCGTCCAAATCACTGGTACTGCTTCACTTTTTTCAAGGTAACTGAGGTCATGCTCCCATAGTCGTTTGGTGATAAAGCTTTGAGTTGTTGAGATGTGTGTTTCTTTCTTTTTTTTTTTTTTTTTAAACCTCAGGATAACAGTGACAGGCCCCTCCTTTCAGTGTAGTAAAACAGACTGTAAAATGAAAGTTTTCTTTGCTACGAAAGTCATCTTATCACATTAACGAGGTGCCATGTTAAGCCTCAGTAAATTCAGTTTTTCCTGAGCAGAGAAAGGAGGTTTTACCCTGGCTAAGAGAGCCCTAGTGCTTATCCTTTTCTAGTAGATCTCAATCTCTTTAGAGCCATTTCTTCCTGCACTTGAAGGAGGAGATCCTTTACTTAGGAGCCCATAGAAATAGCTCACCCTTTTGCCTTCTTCCCTCCTATTTTTTCTGTGTCCCTTTGATTCTCCTTAGGGTTTTAGAGTGCTGCCCATTGCTGTAGTTGGCAGCTCTCAAAATTCATGGCAGGTGTTGAGCTCCTTCTTGTTCTGTAGGTTAGACTTTTTGCTCCCTTCCTTCCTCAGCCCAGCTTGCAGTATTTGTTGGTCACATGCCCAATGCTGTCTTTTCCCCTCAGTGAGCTGAGACAGTTCTCAGTCGACTGAGCTTCCATTTTCTTGGTGAAATTGCTGTTTGGTTCTTTGTGCTGTAGGAGGGAGTGTTTGTTTGGGTGGTTCCCAGGAGAAGCTTTTCTTGGACACAGGGTAGGCCACCAGTACAGCCAAACACCACCACTATTCCCATATGTACAAGATATTTTTAAATCTTCTAAATCTTTAAATCACTTCTGCCATGTGTGAGATTTTTTGCTCCCTTCCATTGTGTCTTCACAGCTTTCATCCAGGATTTCTTTGGTGATTTATTGTTATCTGGAATTAACTGTAAAATTAATGTAAAACACTGCACTTTTTGACAGGCATTTTATTACCAGTCTCATTTTGTTTCCATTCTTTTTTTTTTATTTTATTTTGTTTTGTTGATCAGGTTTGTTTTTAATGACTGTCTTTGTAGCATTAAACTTTACAGGATAAGTACAGGTGCTTTGCTATCAACTGTCACAATAACTATAGCATTTTTTGTCAAACTCTTTATTTTTAAAGCATAAGCCATGAGATATTAATATAAGTAACAATACTGTATTCCTTCACCAACAGTTTTACATCTGTATAGCTGAACTATGTCATCAAAAATAAGTATGATAATGGGAGTAATGAGGGAGTAAGAAGGAGCTTTAATTAACCAGAGAGATTTGTTTCTGTCAGACAGACTCTGTTATCTTCCTTCTATGATGTTTTTTCAGTACTGAAGGGGTGGTGCGACTGGGGAAGATTGTATTGAATGTTAAATATTCATTAAAAAGAAATTGACTTTGCAATGAGTCAGTATGTGCTAATATGCGGCACTAGAACCTCAAATATGATGAACAGACTTCTCGAAGGAACTGCCTCGTTTTGGTTTTGAACGCTGTATAACACATTTTAAAATTACTTTTCACTTTAAATGTTACTTGCAGTACTGAGTGTGTTTTGAAATTAGACTTATTCAATGGACTACTTATTTTTCTCCTAGAAAAAAAAAAATTATTTCTTCATTTAACCAGTGTAATAACACCACTTAGCTTGAAAGGAGCTACAACTAGGTGCTGGCCTTCCTATAGAATGAAAAGAAATTTCTGTGTATTTTGAGACTTTTAAAAGCTACTTCTATGGAATGACATTCAACTCTTTCTCTTTTTTTTTTTTTTTTAAATGAGGACCTGACATTTTTCTGAAGTATACTT